CACCACCCGATATCCTTGCAATCTTCTTCTAATAGAGTTCTCTATTTTCACCTAGACACTGTGCTCAACATCCCAGTGATCCTTCTACTGTGTCATATAAATGGATACCGAGCAACGGAAATCACCGCACGAAATTATTCGGTTAATGGTTGTTTAAACCGATTCACAAGTGGATTCCATCAATACTTGAGAGTTTTCAGTGCCCATTTACTTGGTTGTTCTTCTGTTTTGTTTCTGAGTCCCTTGAAAATAGACTTTCAGGTTTTACGCCTGGTTCTCCCAATCATGGATCGTGTTTTGCTAATCTCATTTACGGATTTGATCGTGAAACCCACTGATGCATCTAGATCCTCCCACTCCGAAGTTTGCTCTGCTCCTCCTGCCCCCTCCCCCCTACGCGACACACACACGCACAGAGATAAATGTCAGTGCCCACTCTAACGCTCTTCTCCATTCTAATCAATTGATTAATCAACTGTCTGACTAACCGATAGACTGAGTTCTTTTCCTTCGCAAAGGTTTGTAATAGCTTGAGAATGAAACCATCGCCCGTAGAAATCGTCCTATCCTATAATATATATATGTGCTTTCCCTTTGTTTACATTGTTGGCTTTATGCGGATATATCTTTCCGGGTTGTCCACTGTGGTTGGCTCACTAATCGATACTGCGGTGGCAATTGTTTTCTGAACAGTCATTCTGCGAGACAAAACTATACCAGATGTGTTTGTGAATATACTATTTTGGTTAGTCTTAAACGAGGTCAATGGATCACCCCACCTTAATTTTGTTCTTTCTCAAGTGGAATAGTTGACAGCTTTGGCATGAAGCATTGAACACTTTTGATTTGCCAGACGTCCATTCCAAATAATATACATAATATAATTTCTTCTCCCCATGATAGATGTTTCCTACTCAGTCTGTTGTTAATCCCCTTATTTTCTCTCTCCGTGTGTGTGTGTTTGTGTGTGTTGCGTTCTCCCGTTAGCGCGAAGCGAGAAATGCCTGATCTGTTTGTCTAGTGGTCGCTGGATGTTGCACAAGTCCTATTTGGACGCATGTGCTCGTGAGTCGCGTTGGGTGGACGAAACCCCATACGAATGGGGCGGGCCCGGAACCGAGCCATTACTGATGCAACTCAGCCCCGCCATCTCAACTCGTGGTGGGCCCCAACAACAACAGCAACAAAAACAGCAAGCTGCACAAATTCGTGATCTAGCCCGATCCGCACGTCGTTGGCGCTTGGCCGGAGGTCATGCATTCCAAAATTGGCGCGTGATTTTCGGCCCCGGATGTGACAAAGAAACTAGTTTTCGTCGTGTTATCGAATCTGGTGGTGGTCAGGTACGTGCTTGTCTATTTGTCTATCCATCTCTGACTGTTTGGTTGTTTCTGCACATCTACGCACTGTCCTTGTAGTGTGTGGCGTTGGTGAGGATAACAATGATAATTGTTCGGGTCTCTGTCCTTGATCCACGCGAATCCTGAAGGTCCGACAGCAACCAAAACCGGCACACAAAAGTACATGTTTAATGGTTTTTCAGACTTAAACCTAAGGTCCGCAGTACGAACCCTACCACCTTCATGTTATAGTGGATAGCTAATTTACAGTCCAGCTCAATATCTTGCCCACCAATCCAGATCCTAAGATGTGTGGTTTCCAGTCTTCGTAACAGAACACTGGATCCCTGTGACAACGTGGTTTTAAACCTTCCAGTGTTTGTAGCTAAAAAAAACATTTTCATTTTAAAATTGGCAAATTTGCTGTTTACTGGTTCTGATTACACAATACGTCTGGATTAAAATAGAATGGATGAATTCCGCAATCCAAAAGTTCATTGTGCAAACATGTAAAGTTTGGTTTGTAACAGTAACGTAAGGATCAATTTGTTTCAAGGTAGTAATGGAGGATTTGACTCGATTATCTGGCGAACTTCGTCGTGTTTCAGAGCAAATGGAGCGCTGGACAGCTGTCTCCGTTCCGTGGAGCAGTGCACGATTCCATCCAACTCCAATTGGGTCTTCCTAGCTTTTTAGTTCGTGATTCACTTGCTCTGTACACAACAAAATCCACCATGTCAACAAGATCTGTTTACTGATGATGTGTTTGATAACGTGAGCACTGAACAAAGTGGAGGGGGAGGAAAAGGATGTTCCGCATCTTCACATTTCTCTGAAAAAGCTGAACCGAGATCGGAAATACAACATAAGAGTGCGCAAGCCACCGGTGAAGATTACCACTGAATATGGGTGGTTTGCCGTCTGTTTGCAGGTTGAGGGAGAAAATAGAAATAGAGTTGGATCCGTCACTATGACTTTCTTCGAAAACAGAAACCTTAATTGTCACGGTGCAAAAGGGACGTAAAGCTCAACGATTAGACTAATGAGTCTATCGAATAAGTCAGTGTTGGGAA